TATCTGCCCTTTTGAATCCCTAAAAATACCATGATCAGGGCACTCCTTAATCTTCCAAAGTCAAGGAAATACAAGCCATATTTATAACGTGTTCCTGATTGGGCCCAGTACATGTCAAATGCCTGCATAAAACATAAGGAGTGCTGGAGAAACTCAACAGGTCTGGCAGTATCTGTAGAGATAGAAACAGAGTTAACGTTTCAAGTCTGGTATGACTCTGCTTCAGAGGTAAAAGCAGCTGGAGTATGATATATTATATGATATTGACAGAGGGAGAGGTGGAGTGAGTGGAACAGATGGTGAGGGTGCCCAGAAGAAAAGACATAGGCAGTGATAATGGTGATAAAGGAGTGATAGGGATGTAAAATAGGTGTAAATGTCAGCTGCAAAAAGGTGAAAATGGATCTACTCTGTATGCCAACATGCAGACAGGTGTTCACTTCTGTCCAAAAGATCTAGCTGTTTGACAGTGAACATCTGAATGATCTGGATCCAAGGTCTGGAAGTTGGCAGAATGCAAGTACAAGAAGGTTCCAAACACAAATTAGGAGGACGCTCTGAATAGATTTAATCTCTTTATTTAGAAAAGACCAAGAAGGAGAGGTGGCCTGGCAGAAATCTATCAAATCACAGAGGGGTTCAATAGATTGGGCACAAGGAAGTTTCACCTAAAGCTTAAGGCCATGAGTATAAGATAATCACTAATAAACTGAATACAGAATTTAGGAGACCCCTCTTTATCCAAACTGTGGTGAGATGAGAGGAGAGAGATTTACAAAAGACATGAGGGGCAAATTTTTTACACAGAGGGTGGTTCATGTGCGGAATGAACTTCCTGAGGAAGTGGTGGATGTGGGTACAATGACCATGTTTAAAAGACATTTGGTTAAGTACATGAATAGGAAAGGTTTGGAGGGATATGGGCCAGGAGCAGGCAGGTGGGATTAGTTTGGTTTGGGATTATATTCAACATGGACTATGACTCTACATTGAATCCACTACCACAACACATGAGTGATGTGAATTGTATTAATACATTTAAGGGAAAGCAGGATAAACACATGAGGAAGAAACAAATAGAAGGATAGAGGGATGGCGATGAGGTGAAGAGACTCATATAGAACTCAAACAGTTACACAGTCCCAGTTGAGATGAAATTCTGTGTGGTACATTTTATGGCTATTTTCAGATTCCCAGGCAGATTGTCAGTAACTCCAGCATTACTCAGTCAACGCTCAGGGATCAATTTTCAAATAAAATCTGAGGTATTATTACTTAATGAAGGGACAAATAGAAAGTTTGCATCATTATATTGTAAATCCAAGAAAGAGTTTATTACTACCGTGTTATATCAACAAATACATTTTGAAACCATGCCCCCTTCTTACTGTCGGCAACATGCAAGAGTTATAAAACCGATGTGGAGGAGCAACACGACTCTTTCAGCTCTGACAGGGGCATTTTGAGACACAGTATCCTGTAATTTAAGCCCACAATTCATTATGGCAATGCAACAGGGGCTCCTTTATTCCTGGAAGTGGGAGAATGCAAAGTCTGGTCGATGGAACGTAGCCTGGAAGTGCCATTATGCACACATTCCAATCTGGTGGAGCAGCATGGGCTCTTCCACACAGCAGGGAGTTTCAAAACCATGGGGCTTGTTCTGCAACATATGATTGTCACTGAATACTCCAATATGACCAACAGGCAGGAGTTCTTCACTCCAGTTGTAGACTCTGCTAGAGACAGTCGAATGAAGCTGAAAGACAAGGGCTAGTTCTAGGGACTTTGGGAAGCCAGTATGTTGAAAGTATGATCTTATTTTCAGTTTGGACCAGGATGTGGAGGTGCCAGTATTGGACTGGAGTGGACAAAGTCAGAAGTGACAAGACACCAGGTTATAGTCCAATAGATTTATTTGAAATCACAAGCTTTTAGAGCACTGTTCCTTCGTCAAGTGAAGAATTTGGACCAGAACAGCCTTAAATCCAAACACCATCTTGGCTCTATAATCTTTGGTCCCCTTACTCAACAAGAACCTGTCAATTTCAGTTCAATTGTTTCATTAACCTACAGAATATTTTTACAAAAATATTTGCTCATGGCTAGGCCAGCATTTATTGCTCAGAGGACAGTTAAGAGTCAAGCACATTGATGTGAGTATAGGCCAGACCGGGTAAGAATGGCAGATTTCCTTCCCGAAAGTGAACCAGGTAAGTTTTTACAACATGATCATCATTAGACTCTTAACTGCAGATTTTTTTTTTACTGAATTCAAATTCTACCATCTGCCATGGTGGGATTCGAACACGGTTCCCCAGAATATTAACTGGGTCTCTGGATTAATAGTAATAATATTAATAGCTCTTGTCATTTCTGTGAGCTCTGTTTGCAAGTTATTATCAGATCTGATTCCATATCATCCTTTCAGGCAGTAGCCTGCAGGCCACACCATTCACCTATCATCCTAAATCTTTGCCTTCTGCTTAACGATCTTCATGTCAGCGGAAATCTATCAAAAACTCATCATAACTTTGAACGTTTTGATTGCATCACCCATTAACCTTCTCTGCTCTGGGGAGAACAATCTGTTTCGCCAGTCTCTCCATAGAACTGAAGTCCTTCATCCTTTGATAATGGGTTTAATAGCCTGGAAATAGATTCAAATTACAGGAAAGAGACGTCAAATACTAAATAGTATTCAAAGGTCAACTCCATCAGGTTGTGAAAAGGCATCAGAAAGACAAGACAATGAGTCAGATGTAACTTCAAAGTGCAAGGTAAACAGTTTATGGATGGGTCAACCAAGCAAAATAATTGGACAAACTATTGAGGTGTGAAGTTACTGTTTGAGCTTGAGAATTACTTAATCTTCCTCCTGGATAATTTTTAATGTCAAGACCCCCATAGTAGGGATTAAAACAGAAAGTGCTAGAGAAACGCAGTAGGTCTGACAACTGTGGGGAGAGAGACAGAGAAGGAGGCACAGTTAACGTTTCGAGTTTGATATGATTCTTCCTCAAAATTGTAACCCCATGATAGGGAGTTCAATAGGGCATTGTGTGTGTGCGTGTGTGTGTGACTGGATGTGACAATACGTGTTTGAGTGTGGGGGTTTTCAGTTTTGTACATATGTACAAGGATGGAGTGTACGTGTGTGGAGGGGGGTGTGGGGGTGTGAGCATGTTTGTGTGTTTGGCTATGGGTGTATGTGTGCGAGTGCTAGTTTAGGCTGGGTACAATTTGTGTGTGTATGAAAGGATAGAGTTTGTGTGTCAATGTGTGAGGGGAAGGGTTTGATGGGAATACAATCTGTGTAACAATGAATGGTTGAATTGTGTGACTGTGTAAGGTGGTGGCATGTCAGAAGAGCACAGTATGGAAATGTGAAGAGTGAAATGGGGAGAAGTCAGGTTTTGCTGTCACACTATCCGTATACCAATGCCTTGGTAGTTTAACCTGCTGCTTCATTGAGCCAATAGCTACAAGTGTTCAATATATCTTGTTAAGTTAATCAAAATGAAACACTAGCAAAGTAGCACTTGGTACAGGATGAAGTGCCAGGAGACCTTTAATGGATTACATCTTCATTAAGAGAACTGTAGAGCTGCTTCACATTACAAGTGTGTTCTAAAGCATTTGAGTACAGTATTCATACTAATCTCAAGCCCAATTACTTCACCTGTTTTCACATGAAACAAACCATTATCTTCCAATTAGTTAACATTCAATTCTCTCCAAACCTCATTTATTTTCTAAATTAGTGTTTTCAGTACATCACATGCACCCCCACCTCACCTGTCCCTCCATATCCAACTGGCAGCACAGATATCTATCTCAGTGTGAGAGTGAAGGGGGATTACAGCATACAGAGCTGCTCTGATTGAAGTCACGCAATGACAAGAGGCCGAGGGTTGAAAGAGAGGAGGGTGAGTAGATGGGAGACAGTGAGAATCTCATGGCTTACCGAGGGGAAGGTGATCAGGTTGATATTCAGCGAGGGGTGGGAGGGAGGAGATTCTGGTTGAACAGGGGAAGCGGGTGCGTATGCATGTCTGTGTGTATGTGTGTGTCTGTTTGTGTGTGTGAATGTGTCTGTGTGCACCTGTATGTGTCTGTGTGCATGTACATGCCTGTGCATGTGTTTATGTGTGTGTGTCTGTATGGTTGTCTGTGTGCGTGCCTGCATCTGTGTGTACATGTGTGTGTGCATGCACGTGCATGTGCATGCATGCGTGTGCGTGTGAGACTGTGTGCATGTGGGTGTGTGTGTGTGAGAGAGAGAGTGAATGTGGGTGTGTGTGTGAGAGAGAGAGAGAGTGAATGTGTCTGTGTGAGAGAGAGAGAGAGTGTGTCTGTGTGCGTGCATGTGTCTCTGTGTGTGTGTGTGTGTGTGTGCGCGCGTGTGTGTGAGACTGTGTGCATGTGGCTGTGTGGGTGTGTGCCTATGTGTGCATATGTCTGTCTGTAAGTGTGTGTGTGAGAGAGAGAGACTGTTAGTGCCTGCGTGTGTGCATGTGTGTGCGTGCATGTGATACTGTGTACATGTGGCTGTGTGTGTGTGTGCGTGCATGTGTTTGTCTATGTATGTGCATGTGTCTATCTGTATGTGTATGTGAGAGAGAGACTGTGTGTGTGTGCGAGAGAGAGAGTGTATGCGTGTGTGTGTGAGAGAGTGTGTGTGTGTGTGTGTTTGAGAGAGAGAAAGTGCGTGTATGTGAGAGAGAGAGAGAGAGTTATGTGTGTAAAACAATGGGGTTCAGATTGGATGTGTGCATATATAAAGATGGAGTCTTTGTGAGTCAGGATGTGAAGAATAAACAGCAAGGATTTGAAGACCAGATGAAGGGGCATAAATTTGATGTGGTGAAGAGGAAGGGAGTAAAGGGGCCAGTGGAACTGCGAGGGAGTTAGGTAGAGAGATTTCTAAACTCCTGCTGTTTGTGAGTCTGAATGCTATTTATTGATCTCCTCAGTGTGTGTTCCTTTGCTTTGTGTAGGTATGAGGATCCTGGTCAATCTGTTACTGGACACTCTCCCGATGCTGGGCAACGTCCTGCTGTTGTGCTTCTTTGTCTTTTTTATATTTGGAATCATCGGTGTGCAGCTGTGGGCCGGTCTCCTGCGGAACCGCTGTTTTCTGGAAGAGAACTTGACATTGTAAGTGTTTGAGGATTTAGCTGCAAGGCTGCGTACCCTACGTGTAGGTTGTACAGGACTGCCTGCTGGAGACTGGGATATTGGAGAGACCCCAGCACCAGAGGTGAAATTAAAACCAGGGATCAGTGTCGAGTCAGCATCACTCAATCCTTTCACAGTACACACAACAATCAATATCAGCCCTCTCTCTGTCCCACTCTGTCCCGTCTGTCTGTCTCTCTCTCTCTGTTCTGCCTGCTTTCACCATCTACCTGACTCTATCTCTTTCTACCTATGTGTCTCTCTTTGTCTTTACCTGTTTCTCCCCCTCTCTGCCTCTGTCTCTCTCTCTCTCTCTGCTTGTCTGCCTCTGTCTCTCTTTATTTCTCCCTGTACTTATCTTTCTCTCCTATCTATCAGCCAATCTCTGTATTTGTTACTTCTGTTTGTAACTCTCCATCTGTTTTCTACCCTCCTTTTGTAGCTCCTTCACTGTCCCACTCAACTGCCCATGCTTTGTGTCACTCTTCAAATCTGTCTGCATGTTGGTCTCCCTGTATCCCTCTCATTCTCCCTCTAAAATAAAACAAAGAACTGCAGACAATGAAGATCTGAAACAAGATCAGAAATTGCTGGAGAAACTCAGCAGGTCTGGCAGCGTCTGTGAGAGAAAACAGAGTTAAGGTTTTGCGCTCAGCGAACCTTCTTCAGATGCTGCCAGACCTGCTGAGTTATTCCAGAACTTTCTGTTTTCTTTCTTTCTCTGTCTACTTTGACCATCTGCCTAACTCTGTTCATTTCTCCCCATCCCTGTCTCTCTAAAAACCCAGAGAACTGCAAATGCCGTAATTCTATCTCAGAGGAAGGGTCACTGGACCCAAAATGTTCACTCTGGTTTTTTTTCTTCACAGATGCTGCCAGACCTGCTGAGCTTTTCCAGCAACTTCTGTTTTTGTTCCTGTCTCCCTCTATCTGTTTTTATTATTCTGAGGAAGTTACGTTGGATTCAAAATGGTAATTGCTTCTCTCTACAGACGCTGCTGGCTTTCTCCAGCATTTTGCCTTTGTTCAGATCTATCTGCAGTATTTTGCTTTATTTCTGTTTTTCATAGAATCCGTACAGTGTGGAAGCAGGACATTTGGCCCATTGAGTCCACACTGATTCTCCCAAACAGCAGTCCACCCAGACCCACATCCCTATGCCTGTAACCCTGCATTTCCCATGGCTAATCCACTTAACCTGCACATCTTTGGACTGTGGGAGGAAACCGGAGCACCCGGAGGAAACCCACGCAGACACAGGGAGAACGTGCAAACTCTACACAGACAGTCGCCCGAGGATGGAATCGAACCCAGTACTAACCACTGAGCCACCGTTTGTAACTCTTTGTCCATTTTCTGCCTGTCCCCTTGTGACTCCTTCACTCTCCGATTTCATCTGGCTGTGCTTTCTGTCACAGTATTTCTCTCTGTCTCTCTCTCTCTCTGTCTCAATCTCTCCTGTCTGTCTTTCTTCCTCTGTGTTCCTCTGTCTGTCTCTTTTATTTTTCAGTCTCTGTGTAACCATTTGTTTCTCTCTTTATATGTTTTTTTCTTTCTCTCTCTCTCTCTGTGTCTCTGTGTGACTGCCTCCGTGCATGACTCTATCTCTCTCTCTCTCTGTGACTGTCTATGCGTGTCTCTCTCTATCTGTCTGTGTCTCTGTGTGGCTCTCTCTGTCTCTCTCTGTGACTGTCTCTTTCTCTCTGTGTATGTGTGTGTGTCCGTGTGTGTGTGTGTGTTTCTGTGTTTCTATCTGTATCTCTGTGTGTGTGTGTCTGTGTGCCTGTGTGTGTGTGTATGTCTGTATGTCAATCTGTGTGTGTGTGTGTGTGTGTGTGTGTGTGTGTGTCTGTGTGTGTGTTTTGTGTGTGTGTGTGTGTCTGTGTGTCCATGTGTGTGTGTGTGTGTGTGTGTTTCTGTGTTTCTATCTGTATCTGTGTGTGTGTTTCTGTGTTTCTATCTGTATCTGTGTGTGTGTGTGTGTGTGTGTGTGTCTGTGTGTCTGGTGTGTGTGTGTGTGTGTGTGTGTGTGTGCGTGCGTGCGTGCGTGCGTGTGTGTGTGTGTGTATCTCTCCCTGTCTCCGTTTTTCTCTCTCTCGCTCCATCTGTCTCTTTCCCTCTCTGTGTCTGTATCACTGTGTGTCTCTCCCTGTCTGTCAGCCTCTCCCCTGACTCCTCGTTCTCTCCCAGCTCTCACTGGATGGAGCTGCCCAGATTCCTGTTGGAGTACAGGATCTTGGCCGTGTGTTATCTCTCCAGCCTGTGTGAGCATTGCTGAGTACTACAGTCACTGTGAGCTATTTGACCAGCACAGAGAACTCAGTGCCTGGTTCTGCAGGGTAACTGAGGATGAAGCAAGGTAACAAGATAAATGCTCGAGCTGTGTTTAATAAAGTTCAACATGCACTGTGTCTGAAGTGGCAGTTTAGTTCATGTTAACATAACTTAACATGACTGAGGGGGTCATTACACAGGCAACAGATTGTCAGGATTGATGGTTTGCCTTTTTTTGGTGACATTGGAGCACTAAATTCTTGCTCATGTCTCAGTGTTGAAGCAAAGCACATTCAGCAGGATCCCTGCATTTTAGCTCACTTCCCCAGCTCCAAGATTCCAGCTGCTGACACCAAGTCAGATTGAATTCGACAGGTTCCCTGTCAGTCAGAGCTGGGGAACTGGCTTCAGTACCTGAACTGAATGAAAGCTTTCGCATTCGAAAGTCACTTATTCATCTCGCCACGACATGCAAAGGGGCTCACTGGCTCACTGCTGGGAAATTGCCAGCTGCTTTGAATATTATCCACCTTTAAATAATTCAAAGGATGGAGTCTCATCCTCAAGTGTGGAACTAAATTAGAGAAACTCAGGAAAATATACAATTGATATTCCTCTGGTTCTTGGCCTCTCAGCTTCCTCAACGGGTGTGGAACGTGTGACCAAAGGCTCAGTGTCCACGCTCTGGACCAGACGTTGGTGGGATTGACTGTCATTCCAGAGACCTCTTGACCCACACTGACACACACACTGCAGTATTGAGGGAGCACGGCACTATCAGAGGGTCAGTGCTGAGGGAGTGCCGCACTGTCAGAGTGTCAGTGCTGAGGGAGTGCCGCACTGTCGGAGGGTCAGTACTGAGGGAGCGCCACACTGTCGGAGGGTCAGTGCTGAGGGAGTGCCGCACTGTCGGAGGGTCAGTGCTGAGGGAGTGTGGCACTGTCGGAGGGTCAGTGCTGAGGGAGTGCCGCAGTGTCGGAGGGTCAG